TTGTTGTTGTTGTTGTCGTTGTTGTTGTGCTGCTTTTGTTGTTGTTGTTGTTGTTGTGCTGCTTTTGTTGTTGCTGTTGTTGTTGTTGTTGTTTGTTGTTGTTGTTTGTTGTTGTTGTTGTTGCTGCTGTTGTTTGTTATTGTTTTAGTAATAGTAATAGTAGTAGCAATGATTAATATGTTAATTACATTATAATAAACCATATCTAATAATTATTTATTTTTCGTCACAACTTTTCTCAATAAGGTAATATTTACAAACTTGGTAATAGGCATTATTAAGGATACGATATCGTTATCCATACTTAATACTTCCAGATATTTAAATGAAACAATAAATTTCATTTAACAATTATCATCGTGTATCATTAATTTTTCATTAGTTATCATAATTATCATATCATAATTATTAATTAGCAAAAAAAACAAAAATCTTCCCATCATTTTTTAGCATATTTATTGCATTTTCGTAATAGCACAATTATCGTATTTTACAAGTTATATTACATTAACAAATGGAATATACTTTATTAAAAGATAAATTAAACATATGAGATGACATACAAAACATTTATCGTTTCATTCTTCAAGTAGTTGTTATGATAAATATGATGATTTTTGCAAGTTTACTATTAGACATACCTTTGTTTCATTAAAATTACCGTAACCTTAAAAACTTTATGTTACACGTTTGTTTATTTATTCAAATATTTTGTTTGTAATTAATTAAAACTTTTTGATTGTCTAATTAACATCAAATTTAATCAATATATTTTGAAATATAACAATTGTCTGCTAAGATGTATTAATCAAATTACATATGTATGGAAATATTTCTTTACTTTATTTCATCACTTTATCACTTTATCATTGTTAATCAAATTACATATGCATGAGAATATTTTTTTACTTTATTTCATCACTTTATCACCTTTATTTCATCACTTTATCACTTTATCATTGTTAATCAAATTACATATGTATGGGAATATTTTTTTACTTTATTTCATAACTTTATCATTGCCAGAAAATAAATTTGTAGATAGCTATTGATAAGAGAATAATAAATGAACAATTTCATGTAAATTGAATTTAAGCGAAGTTAAATGATGTCACATACTGAATGTATTACTTCCTGTCGTTTACTTTATCAAACATTTGAAATTTTATTTTATTTTCACATTCAATTTTCATTACCATTGCCTTTTAATTAAATGTCAATTTCAGGTTGCAAAAAAAAAAAATCAGAAAAGATTTTAATTTCTTTTTTTTTTTGTATTATTTAATTTGTTTTTAAGTTTTTTTCCGCTTTTTTTTTGTTTGAACAAAATTTCTCATTTAATATGTATTGATGCAATTGAAAGGAATGTTAAATTTTGTTTGAAAAATTTGCTTATTACATTTAATAATGAAAATTTGCAAAAATTTAATCAGAAATTAAAAATTAAAACTTGAATTTTTTCAATTAATCAAAAGAACAGTTTTTTTTGCTTTTTTTTTTTGCAATGGAAGAGCATATGATAAATGTTGAAATTTCATTTCTTATTTGCTTTTTTTTTCAACAAAAAAATTTTAAATTTCAATAATATTCGAAATATTATTATATTCTATTCCTTTTAACAGACAAATTTAATAACATCCAAATGTACATTTCCATTTCATTAACATTTTTCGTTTTAAACTTTTCGTTAGAAAAAAAAAGAAAAGAAAAGAAAGTGAAAATAAAATTTAAGAAAAAAGAAGAGAGAAGAGAAGAATGCAAATGAAAAAGATAAAAATGATAAGATATTTGAAAATAATAAAGAAGAGAGAGAGGAAAAAGATTGAAGTGAAGTAAAATTATCATCAGAGATGTTGGGAGAGAAAAATATATTCATTTATTGTTTAGGTGGAATGTAAACGTATGCATATGTGTGTGTGTGTGTCTGTATGTGTATGTGTGTGCATGTATATGTGTATGTGTATGTGAGTATGTGCATGCGTATATGCATGTGTATGTGAATGTGTTTAGTGCATGTGTGTGTGTGTATGTATGTGTACATATGTATA